CTGGCCACGGTGTTGGGCAATGCCCTGGTCGTTCTGGCATTCGTGGTGGACCGGAGCCTCCGCACGCAGGGCAACTTCTTCTTCCTCAACCTGGCCATCGCCGACCTCCTGGTGGGTGAGTTCCGGGGCGCCGGGAGGGCGGAGGGTCGCGCGCCGCGGCGCTGCACGTGTCACCGCCGAGCTCTGTCCGCAGGCGGCTTCTGCATCCCCCTCTACATCCCCTACGTGCTGACGGGCAAGTGGAGACTCGGGAGGGGCTTGTGTAAGCTGTGGCTGGTGGTAGACTACCTCGTGTGCACCGCCTCCGTCTTCAACATCGTCCTTATCAGCTTCGACAGGTTCATCTCTGTCACCAAAGCGGTAAGGCCTGAGGGGGGTCTGCAGGGGCTCCAAGGCTGCCCTTTCAAGGAGGACGGTTTGCTTAGGTCGCCTGGCTCTCAGCCCTAGTGCACCTCACTCACATACCACAGGAGACAGGGGGTGTCTAAGCTGTTCCCCTCGGTCCTGGAAGTAGTTGGGGGAGTGATCAGCTTTGCATCTCACTTTTAGAGTGGAAGAGGTACTCTGTTTTAGAAACAAGGCACAGTTTGTATATGCTGCTGTTCCAGCTAGAAGGGCAGAGGAAAGAAGGGTGTCCTTCTTTCTTTCCCAGACCCACCTTAGAGAAGCTTAGAGTATTACCCAGCTGAAACAGACCCTCTCCCTCAGAACAAGGGAATGCACTTGTTGACAACTGATAGCCAAAGCAGCCCAGCTGCAGCACAAGACAGAGATAGATCTCTCTGCAATACGTACCAAACTCTCAGGGAGAATTCAGTGTATACAACTGTGTATGGTTCAGAAGTGGCAGAATATAGCATCTTTCAAAAGGATGCAAATGCTATTTCCATGTAATGGCCACAGGAAGAGCTAGAGCCTTGCCTCAGTCATGTAATAGGTTGGTTATCAAAAAAGGACTAGACTAGACTTTGCAAAAATCAAGAGTAGCTTCATTTTCACCTAGACCATGATGCCTCAAAGTATTTTGGATTGTGCTGAAATAATAAGTTTTACCTGCTAATAGGTTTCATTCTTCTACACACTTTCATTCTTCTACACACACTTCTTGATTATTCTTCAAGCCCCCTGTTCCAGCCACATCTCCCTAAAACATTCATTTAGTTTCATTGCCTTTTAATGTGATTTAGAATGAGCAATGATACTTTTTTGGCAATCAGTACAAAGAGAGACTGCAAGATCACTTTAACCGTTTATATGCAATTTAGTGTTTTACCGACTTCTTGCTGAAGAGGGAGAAATGAACAGATTAATTCTTAAACAGTCAACACGTACAATTCCTTTATTTTCTAGGTTCTGAATGCTTTCATAAACCAAACTCTCACAGCTATACACGTAGTATAAATATATAGACTGGATGGTTTCAGAAACAGAAAGGGAAACTGGTCATAATAATGAAAAAAAAATCAGCCACTTCTAAATACGTCAAATTAATCCCTCATAAAAATCCCTCCACAAGCAAGAGTATAGAAGCTGCCTCGTGGGTATAGGGCAGTATAAGAACATATGAACAGGAATATATGAGTACTAAATTATTCTCTATCTCAATGAAAATGGTAATCTTCCTACAAAACTGCTCCCGAAATCATTAGTAGCTTTGTCAAGGATTGCAAAATCAGACCCAACTCAGACAAACTCAGGATTCCTCAGCTGTGTTCTACCATAACAGCATCGGCTTTGGAGATGAAGATCCACAGACTAGAGCAGTAAAAATGAATCCCATACAGAATTCAAGCTTCAGGACTTCATATTCAAAACCACTGTGTGGTCACTGTAGAGATGTGAAGATTGAATTCCAATTCATTCTATGAATATTGTCCAGTACACCAGGGAATTAGAATATTAAGTAGATCTTGATTTTAAGATTCTACTGAATTCTATTGCTGATACAGTTTACTGACTCTGTATTACTGACATACTGGTTTTTTGCACCTTAGCTTCTCCATTTTCTAAATAAGGGAAATTGGTAAATTTGTTACTCCTCCTGTAAAACACTTTGCAGACCACAACACTTCATCCATACATCTTAACTGCAGATAAGAGTTCCGCAAATACTTCATAAAAGAATGAAATTAAAGATATCAAGCAGAAGTAAAAGCTGTTATTAAATTTTTTCAGTGCGATTTTCACATTAAGAAAAAAAGGGTCTCTACAAAGCAGAAAAGAAATTGCATGGGTGTTCTATGAATTCAGATATTTTATGTATTTAGATTAAATTATTTAGAAACTCTCAAGTGAATTTTGAAGGGCCATGTTCTTTAGACACTCTAAACTGATGTCACAGCTAATGCAATTGAATATGTAACCAACTGGTAGCAACTAATTCTAGGAATAGATTATTCTAGGAATAGGTTATTTGCTTTGGAAAAGCCTTGGTTTTCTAGCTTCTAAGATCCTGTGCACATTCTCAGAACATACAGTCACCTTGATAATGTTTGTTGGAATGGATATTTCAGAAATAGCTTTTCTGTGGTACCAGTAAGCTTGGTATAACCCTCATCCCTAAACCAATATATTAGCAACCCTCACAAGTGACAGAGAGGATCCTATTCCAAGGTAGCCATGTAACTGTTTTAAGATACTAGTAATGTATGTGGCTTAACTTTACTCTCTTGCAGGTCAGTTACAGGGCTCAGAAAGGGATGACCAGAAACGCAGTACTGAAGATGATCACTGTATGGATTGCTGCTTTTCTTCTCTATGGTCCAGCCATTCTCAGCTGGGAGCACATTGCCCAAAAGAGCATCCTCCCTGAAGGAGAATGTCATGCAGAATTCTTCTACAACTGGTATTTCCTAATGATTGCCTCTACTATTGAATTCTTTACACCTTTCATCACTGTTACATACTTTAACTTAAGTATTTACCTCAACATCAGGAAACGCACATCCCTCAGAAATGAAAACGTATCACCTGGTCAAGAGGACTGTGAAGTGAGTTTCCAGGGGGAAAAAAGGGAACACACTATATTTTTTGTAAAACCTGCTAACAGACACAAACATGAGAAGAAGAGAGCAAGCAGCCTTTCTCCCCCAAAAAAGGCTTCAAGGCTCAGCCTACATAAGCTTGACAATCAGTCATTGAATTTGAATGTCAATCAAGACCTTCCACCACTTCAGGTAGAAGTTGAGACCAAGGCTCACAGGAATGGTTTCTACAAAACTACGGAAAGCATATGCAACGCCACCAGCAGAGTGGACATTGCTAACACTATGGCAAATAGATTTAGACTTTCCCGGGATAAAAGAGTAGCAAAGTCTTTAGCAATTATTGTCTGTGTGTTTGGTTTGTGTTGGGCTCCATATACACTTTTGATGATCATCAGAGCAGCTTGCCATGGGCACTGTGTGCAGTATTCTCTCTATGAAACTTCATTTTGGCTTCTGTGGGTGAATTCAGCCATTAACCCTGTTCTATACCCACTATGTCACATGAGTTTTAGGAAAGCCTTCATAAAGCTCCTGTGTCCAGGAAAAGCCAAAATTCATCCTCATATTTTTATGTGAAAAAAGTGTGAAGGCTGACAATTAGTACATCATACTTTCAGTGGGAACATAAACTGGCTAATATCCACCTGCAAGTATCAAGTGCAATGTGTATTGGGTAGTTTATGGAATACTGTTAAGTAGGTGCAAGTGTAGATATTTATGAATGTATATAAATACAGTCATCCATGTAGCTGGAGAAATCACAGCAATGAAAAGAAAGGTAATTTCTCAAAACTCTCTGGGAAATTATGCCAGCAGTATATTTTCTGGTAATGGTGCACTAGTGTTAGAGTGCTGAAGAGGGAATATAACATTCATGGCCAGTAATTAGAGTTCAGTCTCTCTCATTTTTAATAACTGTAAATATTGCTGGTAAGGAATTTCATAAAGTATGTACCTTGAACCTGTTACATTTTACCTGCAAACCAACTCTGAGATGCCAAGGGTCTCAGCTGTTAAGTGAGCTGTAATGCTTTCCCACACACACTTCATGGCAAGCCAGACAAGATCATGACCAATGCAAAACACTAAATACTCGTGTCCAGGAACAGCATGGGACAGGCTCCACAACAGTCAGGTGACCAGAGAAGCTAAGCACTTGTAGCAGATAAGGGAGCACTGTCTATGACAGACAGATCTTGCTACAGACAGAACTTTAGGTAAACTTCCCATGGAATATTTTTTAAACCAGTTTCAATTGGACTTTTACTAGTTCTGAAAGTTAAAGTTATTTTCCCCTACTCCACCCACTGGATCTATCCATCCAAGTCATCAGTGGCCAAAAAAAAGTATTACTTGAAGCATTTAGACATTTTCCAAGTCACATGTCATGAATAGCACGATTCAAAAAAGTCTGTCAAAATTTACAGCCTTGCTATCGACCATGAATGTGAAAAGAATGTAAACTACATACACTTTCTGCTATTCTGCCTCTGCCACAGAGAAGCTCACACAGATCCTGAGCTTAGACTAGATACGTCCCACAAGAGATATTGATTTGAACATCGCTAGTAATACGTTTGTTTCCACCACCATAAGCATTTTCTATGTAGCTTAACAAACACTTTCCTGTGCTGAAAAGAGTGATAGCCATAGTTGTCCATTACCACAGCCAAAATGCATGTTAGTACAATTGATCTTAAAGTTTACAGACAGTATTTTGAAGTTACTTACTTTGTAAAATTTCAGTACAAGTAGTTAAGAAGTGTGGAAAAGTCATAACTTCGTAGCCTTAACAAGTGGTACATGGGAAAAAGCAGTAGCCTACAACATTTGGGCAACTGCAGTTGAACCCACAAAGCCCTTATTCAAAGACAACTCCTAAGTTACAAGGACTGACCTTGGGGATTAAACAAACAAACATGGTTAGCAAATACTGTAGACCAGTAGGGCATATCCCTACTACGTGAATATATCTACAAGAACATGATCATCATGTTCTGCTATGGATGTTTTATAACAAAACAAATCAGCTTAATGGTCCTCTTAAGAGGAATATCATCAACAGACACAAAGCAACATTAAGATTTTTGAATAGCATTAATGGGCAAATAAAGCCATTAGATTATCTTCCCATTCCTCTGCCCCTCCAAGCCAGACTTATACATCAGTAGATCAATGATCTAATTGTTGTCTACTCCACAGTACTTGTTTCCTAGGATTGCATTTACCTTTTTCACAGAATGGGTAGCACTAAACTATTGGACACTCCCACCAAGGTCTCATTCACTATTCAGTCAAGCCAGGACAATTTTCATAACAGTGGTCAACTCAAGGAGTAAGGAAGTTCAATCAGTTAGCTTTAGAACTTTACATTCGGTTAAGGTAAACCAAGTTTTCAAAGTTTTCAGCAACTGGCATTAACCTACAGACCAGACCAGTCTTTACGGGAGCTGCCACTGGCAATTGCTCTACTGCTCAATTTCCTACAGGTTTGTCATTTAATTGCCACTGGTCTCTAGCATATAGAATCCTGTAGGATTCTCTGACAGTCTCAAGGTATGTCAAAAGCATTCTGAAATGCTAAAACATCCTCTCAACATTTACAAAAATTACTGGATTTGAATGATAAAATTCTAGATTAGAAATGCTACCAGCTTCCCAGCTTGTCCAGGTTAACCATGCCTTGATTTTTCTGTCCCTACAAAACAGAAGGTCCTTTGCTTTTATCAGAAGGTTCAACATTAGCATTGGGTTCAACAGTGGGCTCTGAGGAGACATGAAACAACAGGTGTTAATAGCAACTTTATTGTTTCACTGGTGCAAAATCATGATACTGAATAAACTTGTGTAATGCATTTTCCCCTAAATTTACAGTAATGAAGGTTATACATATCTATATAGATTGCAATTTCTCTATTTTTATACTATTTGGAACAAAATCATCCTGATAAATATGCCCTGTGCACAGTACCGGCCCTCACTGAATGTCACAGAGCCTTAATATGCAAAATATAACTTCTGTTTTTGAACATGGTACTTTAAAACTCTCCAAACATGCATTAATATATTCTAGTTTTTAGGGAAAAATATTACACTTAGTCTTAACTTGCATTAAAAGAAAAGCACAAGCAGAATCTGACATACAGTAATCCCAAAACTCTGATGCTCTGTAAGGATCAGACACAGTTTCAGATGACAGTCACTGCCAGTTTAGAACTCTAGTGCTACAGAAGCAACAGTGAACAGACAGAAGAGAAAACAGAACTGGAAGAGCCCTACCATGTCACATGGATTTCAAAAAAGTTTCAGCCATGCTAACTGATGAAACGTGTAGCTGCTGGTCCAACCTTTTGAATTTGTTAGAGCACTCAACACAAGCGTTTGAAGTGCCAGACTGAACACATGAATGTTAACTTGACATTTCTGAAAGGCACAACCTAAGAATCTATCTTAAAAAAACCATATGGTATGTAAGTGAAAAGAAATAAGTACAGTGTGTATCTTCCTAAAGAACAAGACCTTCATAAATTGGACCCTCAGATTCTGGTGATTCCCTCCTCAGACGCAAGTGCTCCAGTGTGTTGTGAAAGTGTTTGTTAATTTGTTCCGTTTCTTCAGTAGACTCAAGGTTTGGGAGATCTTCTCTTATCTTCTGTATAAGCTGATTCAAAACCTGAATTGTCACCTACAGGAGAACATAAACAGAAGTCATCAACAAGACCCGTGTATAAGTGCATAGACACTAGTTTTAACAGACTTGTCTCTAAACTATTGGTATTTGGACAGTTCTTAGAAATATCAGTAAGACTATAATGCAGATAAAAGTGTTGGAGACTGCCTTCTCTTGCTCCTCATAGGACCATTCTGATTTAAGAGCTGTGTGGAAATTCCCCCCATCCCAGCAAATGTGAAGAACTTCTTAAGTCATTAACCTGATAGCTGTGTAACTTCTACCACAACATTTCTCCTTAAAAAGCCTTAAACAAATAAAGCACATAATCAGATTGTATACACACTCTAACATAATCTGTTTCTGATAGAAGTCAGCCAGGATGGTAATACTAGATTTAAAGTTACTGTTAGTGACCAAGTCATTACCTAGGAAAGTACGGCTGCCTATGGTGTTAGTCCAGCACTACACAGAACAGCACAGCACAAAATGCACTGCAGACCACCACTATATCCAGAAACTACTTTTTACATCTGCCAAGTGATTTGAAATCCAAAGTTTTACTTTCATCTCCATCAGATACGGCATCTCCTGTATTAGAGCACTACTACAGCATGAAGCCAGTTCAGTTGCTGGAAAGTCAGCAAATCCCTAAAATCTCTTTAGGCGCTCTCTCAGAACCAGAGGGGTTCATTAATGTCTGCTCTTTATCAAATGATGACATGAGACAGAACACTGATCTCTACTTGACCATGCAGCTTTTTCAACTGGATAAGTTTACTAGTTATCTGCTAACAGAAAATGTATGAGGTAACTACCTCGGATTTCAGATGCAGAATTTAAGCTGGTACATGAGATGTCATATCTAGTTCTTCAAATTAAAGCTTAGACCAACCATTTCTGTCACACACTGACCTTGAACAGCTGTAAGAATTTTCTTTCTCTTGTGTACATATGAAGTTAGGTACCTCTAAAGTTACGAAGTAGTAAGATCCTAAGTCCTAGTAAGCTTTGATCTAGTAGGTATTTCAGGTATTCAAGTCTCACAATATGGAAGTTCATAACTGAACTGCAAACGTTTGGTGTTTTCCCCCATATAAGAAGAATGAAGTCTTATCCACAATTTTACTAGCATATAAAAAAAATTGACTACTCTGTTGTTATTACCAGAACTTGTGCCTCTTGTGAGAGACTACAGAGCAAGTTGAAGAGACATGACTTGGGGTATAAGCGTGAATGAAGAGCTTAAATAAATGCTCCTTTAAAAAGATGCAATCAAAAGAATGCATTTCCACTCACCGCTTCATTTTCCTTCTCATAAAAATAGATATATCTATTCAGAATTTCTATGAAAAGTTGGACTTGCAGAGAAGGGTCCATGCACTGATTTGCTATCTTCAGAGCCTTCTTTAGGCATTCCATCACTCTCTTTCCTCCATGAAGCTAGAAGGAAAAAAAAAAGTTACAAGAAATAAAAGAACCTTAGGGAGCTCCAGTGTCTCTTCCCTTAGCACATACACGGCATTTCCTGGTGGTCTACCACAGAGACACAAAACTACACAAACCAATAGAAGCTGGCATTGAAAGCTTACCTTGTCTGCCTGCCACCAATCTTAAGTTTTGTTAAATTAGGCAATAACATGAACAGTTGTTTAAAGCCTTCAATTATGAGACCAATTAACTCAATTTTGTAATGCATACACTAATGCATACTTTGAGAAACAGATTTCAAACACTGCTCTTTATAATTACAACAGCTTATGTGACACAAGCCCTGAAGAACACACTTTTTTTTTTTTACCTTTAACTTAAACAACTTTTATCTTTTATTTGGAAGTTTAGTAGTTCACATGCAAACACAGCTACTATAAAACACATGTAAAATGCAGACTGTTTTAACAGCCAGCCTTAAACTAGCTGACCCTCAAAACCTTGTGTGGTACTTCCACCCTTAAATTTTCTCCATTTTTGTATTTATGCAACTTACAATATAGTGAGATTCAGAAGCTTCTTATATTAAAAGACATTCCAACCAAATCTACATCACTAAGTGATACATGTACTTCAGAAGTACGTGGCTTCAGAAGAAAGGCAGAACCATGTTACTGAGGTAGTACACGTTACTCTGCTGTCGCTTTATTCTTACCTCCTCTCCATTCTTGTCAGTATTTCGGCCAGACCAAAACAGATGGGCACAAGTGCTCACAGCCCGGCATTGGTCTGGCTTCTTAAGGAGCTTAGAGGCTGCCAGCGCACACTGAGTCCTCAAAGGCTCATGGTTCTCCTCACTGAAGCACTTCATCCTCTCAAATGTCCCAATTATCAAGGTGATTGCAGCCAGCTGTGCTTTTGAATCACTGATTTCATCTTCATATAGAGAGAAGGCCTAGTCAAGGGAGAAAGGAAGACTCTTCATCACTGCTTTAGAACACATTAGAAAAAACAGAAGTCGCACCTGATAGTGACTGACATGGCAGAAAAGTGTCCAGTTTTACATTTGATAAAAGCTTCAGGCAGGAAAAAAGATCTTTCATTGAGAGTGTCAAAATCAAGTTAAATCCACAGACTGGAAATAAGTCTTGCAAGAAATACTTCTTAAGTGGAGATAGAAAAC